AGGAGCAAGTGGGAGGGAAGAATGGGAAGATATTGTTTAATAGGTACAGAGTTTCTGTTTGGAATGATGAAAAGTTCTGGACACGAATAGCTATGATGATTGTACAACACTGTGAATATTATCAATGCCAATGAATTGTATGCTTAAAGTGGTTAAAATGGTAAATCTTATGTTATATATTTTATTAATAACATAATAAACAAAATTTTAATGTGAAAAATGGCATTGCTTTTTAAAAAATAGGAGTAAGGTAATTTTTTAAAGAAAACTATTAATAAGTAAATAATTTACATCAGAAATTATGTAACGATTAGAATCAGCAAGGAAGACCCATGCTGATCTGTATCAGTGGCCTTTAGGCCGCAATGTGACAGCCACGTCCCTCATTCTGGCCCAAGCTCCTGCTTCTCAGAAGGAATAATGGAATACGCTTACCCATTTGAAGCCAGGGTCCTTCGTCATTTAACTACTGCAGATATCTCGGGCCTTGTGAATTCTGTATCCTTATTTGTTTAAATGAAACCCAGTTCTTACTGAACTAACCACCATAACAACAGAGTATTTAGTAAGACTTGTGCTTAATATAATATATAAAATCCCAAAAGTATCTTTATTTCATCCGACTAAGGGTACTATATCATGAAAATGCAAAATTGTGACTTAATGAACTTCCCCTTTGGATTAGTTAAGCATATTGTATAGAATATTCTTTATGAACATGGATTATGACATGACATGGTCAGGTACATTGATGTACACCTATGTTCCCAGGATCTCTCCTTCATAAAACTTCTTAATACTAGTTTTTTGCTCTCCAGTTTTAAATTTTCAGGAGAAGTCTAAACTTTTTCTTTTTTTTTTCTTTGAGACAGGATCTCACTCTGTCACCCCAGCTGGAGTGCAGTGGCACAATCTCGGCTCACTCCAACCTCTGCCTCCCTGGCTCAAGCTATTTTCCTGCCTCAGCCTCCTAAGTAGCTGGAACTACAGATGTCGCCACCACGCTGAGCTCTTTTTTGTATTTTTAGTAGAGATAGGGTTTCACCACGTTGGCCAGGCTGGTCACCTCAAGTGATCTTCCTGCCTCGGTCTCCCAAAGTGCTGGGATTACAGGTGTGAGCCATCTCACCTGGTCGAGAAGCCAAAATTATTAATATTTACGCTAAACATGTTCTCATATCTTCTCCAGAGTGCCAAACAAAAAGGTAACCTAACAATTAAGCAGTTAATCTGATTCATGGAGAAACTGGGCAGAGTAATTTACAAGGTAAATGACTTGGGCTGATCATTCAGCTGGGCTGTTTCCTTTATTCATATAAACCTTAACTTAGTTTTCTTTTCACTTTGTACATTATTTCAGGATAAAAAGGATGTTCTCAAAGAATCAGGAGAATATCTAGGTGAGGTAGGAGTAGATAACCAATTCAGGCTATAGTTTTGGCTAAATAATGTCATGGTGTTTGATTTTTTTTTTTTTTTTTTTT